GCCCTCAGTAGAGTGCAGTGGCATCATAGCTCACAGCAACCTCAAACTCCTGGGCTTAAGCAATTCTCTTGCCTCAGCCTTCCAAGTAGCGGGGACTATAGCACCCACCACAACACCTAGCTATTTTTGGTTATAGTTGTCATTGTTGATTAGCTGGCCCAGGCTGGGTTTGAACCTGCCAGCCTTGGTGTATGTGGCTGGTGCCATAACCACTGCTGTGCCTATAACAGAGCTTTAGTCGGAATAAATCCTTCAATGCACTTAAACAGGAGGGGAGCTTTTCTAAATACATGTATTTGATATAAACTAACTTGCCTCTTCTGCAGTTATTGATGAAAATCTAAAATGCACACTTACCCTTTGATAACTTCATTTTGGGAATTTATCCTATAGGTATGCTTGGGCTATACTGAAGATATACCAGGATGTTTACTGTTGCAGAGTTTTAAAGGCATAACCAACAATATCTACCAATAAGGTACTGGCTAAACATGTATTGGCACATCTTTATAATGAAATACTATTTAGTCCATGAGATTAATATGCTACCTATTATGCTATGAGGTACCTTAAGTTTCTTCCATATATATTTACATATGACATTTCTTTTTTTTTTTTGAGACAGAGCCTCAAGCTGTTGACCTCGGTAGAGTGCTGTGGCATCACAGCTCACAACAACCTCCAATTCCTGGGCTCAAGCAAGTCTCCTGCCTCAGCCTCCCAAGTAGCTGGGATGACAGGCGCCCACCACAATGCCTGGCTATTTTTTGGTTGCAGCCATCATTGTTGTTTGGTGGGCCCAGGCTGGATTCGAACTCACCAGCTCAGGTGTATGTGGCTGGCGCCTTAGCCGTTTGAGCCACAGATGCCGAGCCACATATGACATTTCTAAAAGGACACATAATAATCTGTTAATTGTAGTTACTTCTAAGGTGGGGGATCTATTTGGGAAACTTCTAATTATATGCGCTAAATCAGCGGTTCTCAGTCTGTGGGTCGTGACCCCTTTGGAGATCAAACGACCCTTTCACAGGGTTGCCTAAATGCATCCTGTGTATCAGATCTTTACATTACAATTCATAACAATAGCAAAATTACAGTTATGAAGTAGCAACCAAAATAATTTTATGGTTGGGAGTCACCACAACATGAGGAACAATATTAAAGGGTTGTGGCATTAGTAAGGTTGAGAACCACTGCACTAAACTCTTAAGCATGAATTTTTTTTTTTGCAGTTTTGGCCAGGGCTGGGCTTTAACCTGCCACCCCCAGTATATGGGGCCAGTGCTCTACCCCTTGAGCCACAGGTGCTGCCCCAGCATGAATAATTTTTTAAAAAAAAATATGTCTATAACAGTTGAGAGAGAAAGAAAGTTACATCTTCCACACTCATTAATGGTCCCTTTCTTGTAATTCTGATATCCCCCTTCAGTGGGGCAGAAAACCTGTATAATTTGGAAAAGCTCTCCTTCCTAATAATTTCTTTTCTTTTTTTTTCTTACTGAAACAGAGTTTCACTATGTTACCCTTGGTAGAGTGCCATGGTGCCATAGCTCACAGCAACCTCAAACTCTTGGGTACAAGCAATTCTTTTGTATCAGCCTCCTGAGTAGCTGGGACTAGAGGTGCCCACCACAACGCCCAGCTATTTTTCAGAAACAGGGTCTTCTGTTGCTCAGGTTGGTCTTGAACCTGTGAGCTCAGACAATCCACCTGCTTTGGCCTCCAAAGTGCTGGGATCACAGGTGTGAGCCATTGTGCCCAGCCTCCTAATGATTTTTTTTTTTTTTTTTTGGTGACAGAGTCTCACTACGTCACCCTTTGGTAGAGTGCTATGGCGTTATAGCTCAGAGCAACCTCAAACTCTTGGGCTTAAGAGATTCTCTTGCCTCAGCCTCCCAACTAGCTGGGACAACAGGTGCCCACTACAAAGCCCAGCTATTTTTTGGTTGCAGTTGTCATTGTTGTTTAGCAGGCCCAGGTTGGGCTCCAACCTGCCAGCCTCAATGTATGTTGCTGGTGCCCTACTCACAGAGCTACGGGTGCTGAGCCCTCCTAATGGTTTTTATACATTCTCTACATATATCCTCTTGAGAACAATTCATTTCTTATTCAAGTAGGAACTATGCAAACAGATTTATAAAACATATTTTCATTATCATGCTAAAATCACTCTGTTTTCCACACTCATTAAATAGCCTTCTGACCTTACTTAAGTTCCTTAATTATTCTTACCTGGAAAACAGAATGGCAGACTAGGAAAATGATTACAACTCCTGCTACCAAATTCATGGCAACTTCTATCCCTATGTCCAGTATTTTCTCAGGTAATTCCCCCCAAACCATGAGGAATAAAAGGATAGATGAAAAAACTGTATCTATACTTGCAGATGAGATCACTAATGCTCAGAGGAATTAAATTTGCTTAATTCACCCAGGTATAAAGTTGCATATCGCAAATAGTCAGGCGTTGTGGTAGGTGCCTGTAGTCTCAGCTACTTGGGAGACTGAGGCAAGAGAACTGCTTAAGCCCAAGAGTTTGAGGTTGCTGTCAACTATGATACTACAGCACTCTGTATCAAAAAAAAAAAAAAGTTGCATATCCCAATACATTTTTTTCCTGAGACAGAGTCTCACTCTGATGCCCCAGGCTAAAGTGCCATGGGGTTAGTCTAGCCTACAGCAATCTCAACTCCTGGCCTCAAGTAATCCTCCTGCCTCAGCCTACCAAGCAGTTGGGACTGCAGGAGCCCTCCAAAGTGCCCAGTTTTCTATATTTTGTAGGGATAGGGAGTCTCACTCTTGCTCAGGAGGCTGGTCTCAATCTCCTGAGCTCAAGCAATCCTCCTGCTTTGCACTCCCAGACTGCTAGGATTACAGGCATGAGTCACTGTGTCCAGCCTTCAATGCTTTTTGAACTGTATTACACAGCTTCTCACAGTACTACAAGTTCCTGCTCTACCTTAGTATATGAAAGAATGATGGTCTATCCATTAGACACATAGAAAGACAAGGAACAACCAAAACCCTCCAGCTTATTGCAGAAAAAAATGCAAAAAGGTCACACTCATTTTCACCATTGAAAACCAGGAATATATTTGGTGTTTAATCTTTTTGGTTTTCCACAGTTTACTATCTCCTTACGAATGAAAGGTAGTCTATAGGCAACAATGGAGTTTTCCGATCTGCTGTTGTAACTGACAACTACTTTCAACCCACCATCTAAAATACTGACAATTCATGTTAAAAGTGAGGCTATAGGAAATGTCAGTGAGTGGCTATTGTGCCACTGCAGATATCAGGTCTATACTAGGGCCATGTTTGGAGACACATGGCTTTAACAAGTAGATCCTGTACTAAGGCATGTGTCATGCCATACTTTCAGGAAGTAGACACTTTTTAGGATTAATGAAGTCCCATAGTTCTGTCTTTCATCAGCAATGTTGGAGATATAAAAATCTTTATGTCCTGGCTCGGTGCCTGTAGCTCAGTGGCTAGGTCGCCAGCCACATAGACCAGAGCTGGTAGGTTCAAACCCAGCTCGGGCCTGCCAAACAACGACTACAATGAAAAAATAGCTGGGTGTTATGGCGGTATCTGTAGTCCCAGCTACTTGGGAGGTTGAGGCAGGAGAATGGCTTAAGCCCAAGAGTTGGAGGTTGCTGTGAGCTGTGACATGACAGCACTGTACTGGGCAACATCCTGAAACTCTTGTTTCAGGAAAAAAAAAGTTTATGTCCCATACTTTTCTAAATCCTAGTGATAAACATGTGCTGATATTCAATTCAAAACCTATACAAAGTGAAAACTGAGTTGTTTCTGACTTCCTCAATTGCATGTGGAAAAAAGCCTTGCTCTATGTTGTACAGCCACTCTGGCCAGTTCCACTTCCTGTCCTCTGTGGTTCTGATTGGGGACCTTAGCGTGGAAGAGGTCTTAAATACTTATATAAATAATAACAGTAGCTAATGAAATACACTTGGAAAATCCAAATAAAGAAATACCTTTATTTCTTACATGTTTGTAAGTCAGAATAAATGGAAGGAAAATAGTATTTAGACTAATCCAGATTTGCTTTCTATGAAAATCTAATGTCTGAATCTAATGTCTGGATTATTTTCCTTTTCTCATGCCTAAGGAATAAGTATTTCTTTTTTTTTTTTGAGAAAGAGCCTCAAGCTATCCCCCTGGGTAGAGGGCCATGGCATCACAGCTCACAGCAACCTCCAACTCCTGGGCTCAAGTGAGTCTCCTGCCTCCGCCTCCCAAGTAGCTGGGACCACAGGTGCCCGCCACAACGCCTGGCTA